TCTGAAGGGTAACTCCCTTCGGAAAGCGATGCGCAGTATTCTTGGTAGGAATCCCGCTCAGCCAGAGCTTGCCCCCTGCTCTATTCTGGTAGATCAGGCTGGGGCTCTCTGCAGTCTTGCCGTGGACAGTGGCCAACCTGTCAAACTTCCTGTCAGGCCCCCGGGTATCCAGTGCCTCTGGAATCGGGAGGTCCTCCTCCTCCACTTCAATCTCTTCATCCTCAGAGCTCGAAACCAGGGCTGGAAGGGGAGCTGCAGGTGTAGCTGGAGCTGCCTTCGCCTTCTTCTCAGGCGGCGCTTTGGGCGGTTGGCCCTGTGGCGATCGAGGGCGCCTCACTGGCGCCTTGGGTGGGGTGGCTGGTTCAGGAGGTCGCTCCTCCTTGGACTTGCTGGTAGGCTTAGCCTTCGCAGAGCCCGAACCAGTCCCTTCGCCCGGCATCTCTTCCACCTTGATGAACTTCTTATCATGGCATTCGCATGCTGGGTGTCCTCCTCCACAGACGCGTCCAGCTTTGCGCATCACGGCACATGCATGCCTACCCGGGCATGATTCCTTTTCCAACGGGCAGGACTTTGTTTGAAATGCCCCACAAATAGGTGCCCCGTTCTTCATGAAGGCACTCAGAACCTTCCCATTGAGGGAAGCTGGCATAGCCGTAAGTCCGCCTTTGGCTTGGGCTTCCTCCCTCTTGGCAGCTGCTTTGAGCTTGAGGGCCTCCGACAACTGAAAACGAGCCTGTAACTCATCCTTGGTCAAAGGAGCTGCCCAAATGACGCGGGACTCCTGCTTCAGGACCTTGTCGACCTGCTGGCGCGCATAGTCAAGGGCCTCTGCAAAGCTCTGTTCCGGAATTGTCTCCCAAGACTCGTAGGCCAACAACTTCTCCATGGCCAATCTGATGATATGCTTGGTCCGAAGCGAATGTTCGTACCTGGCTGCACTGTAATGCATAGGCATCGTCGCTTCTTTGGGGATCTGGCTCCGATCTGCCCAGTCGCCAAGCGAACATAACTCCAGGGGCGTCAGCTTCATCAGTGATCCCACTGTGGGGCCAGCTCGCCTCCAAGAGTAAGACGACAAGTCGTCTGTGTTCTGGACCAAGTGCTCGAAGACCTCACGGTTCAAGTCATTGACATACTTCAAGGTAAATGCGGTACCCTCCGCATCGAAACAGAGTCCTGAGGTAGCCTGCTTGGTCTTGTCCAGCTTGCTATAGTCCCGAAATAGGGCGGATCCCCAAGCCCATCCATTCACGAATGTTGCGGGGATGCAGAAGGAGAATCCACCCCGATTGGCCCGCTGCTTGCCCTTCGGGCAAAACCCATGGAACGAAGATGGTGTCACCTTCACCGGCCTGGCCCTCATGATGTGCTTGTAACGCAAGACACCAAAGGTGACCAGCCATGATGAAAGTAACCCTCGCCAACGTGGGTCCTCTGCCTCATACATAGCCTGTATGCGCTCTTCCAGGGCAGCAATCATCGGCGGTTCAACTGCGACTGCCTGCTCAGGATTTGCCTTCTTGGGTGGATTCTTCCTTGAGGGCACTGGCACATCACTGAAGTCCCACTGCAAGCGACCATGTTTCGAAAACCATTTCAAAGAATGAAAAGCCCTGTAGGGTCCATTTGTGCCGCTTTGCAGAAAGCCATAAAGATCCAAAGTGTCAGGCGGAAACAAACGATCCTTCTGTTCCATGTATGCCCTCAATTCTGCCCAGGACTTGAGGGCATTCACAATTGTGGCGCCCTCGGCCTCCGTGACCTTCTTCTTGGCCAGGGTATCCAAGGCATCCTGCCATTGTGAATACCTCTCAGGGGTCAGCTCCCCTTGAGGGCGCATCACCTTGGCCTGGGAGAATGCCTTCCGCAAAGCTTCGGCTCTCAGCAGCACTTGTTCTGGTTGATCGGGGCCTGGACGGATGCGAAGTGCCTGGATCATCCTGCTCTTCTTCAACATCGAAGCCTTGGGAGCCGGCCAACTTGCTGGCCTATCCCGCGATCCCGAACTCTCTGCCACTGCTGCCGCCTGCGGAATGAGGTCATCTTCAATGATATTGGAACGCGCCTGCAGCCACGCATCGGCAACATGGTGTCCTCCATGTGCCACTGCGCTGTCGTATGACGCGAAGGCATAGGCGAAGTCTGTGTTGTCGTGCAATCCCCATTGAGATCGCCACTGCTCCACCCTCGTCGAGGCCACCCGTTCCATCGCAGTCTCGGCACCAAGCGGAGCATCACCTGCGGCTTGAACTGCGTAGGCACCTGGGTGATATGCCATGGCAACCCCCGACACCACCGCTGCCAACGTTTGGAGCGTTCGTGCTGGGCCTGAAACTGCAGAATTCACCTCAGTATCACCAGGTACGAAACATGCATCACTAGGCCGCAGCTGCTGCAGATGGGTCTCTATGCAAGTTGGGGTGACAGCCTGGACACTGGGAGGGTGGACAGGTACTGCACACTGAAGAGAAACAGTGCTCACAAAGTTCTGGGGTCGGAATGCCACAGGCCCGACATGGCGGCAAGGGTTCCTCCCCAGCCTCCATGGCACCGAGCCATCCCCAGAGCGACCGCACTGCTCTGGCCCGTGGTGCCCTCCACGCAACCAGGTCAGCTGGGATAGGCACCATTGATGGGTCCCTCCATCCTCGGCGCGGGGACTGCCACTTCCTCCAGACATCCCACAGCTCGGCAAGGTCGACCATACTCTCGGCATTGTGCTCGATGAAGGCCACCAAACCGAAGATGTTGTCCGGCGCAAAGTCCCTAGCTGTCCAATGGGTCCGCAGCGGCTCAATGAGCAGCAAGTCCAGCTTCGCCTCGCCCAGGCGATCATAGTAGGACTGCCACGCCAGCCGCGGGTCACTCCCGGGCAGAGCCAAGACAGCTGAGCTGTTCCAAGTACCAATCCATGGGAACTTGAATCCTCCCAAAAATTCGGTACACCTCCTACAGTTCTCCTCCATGCAGGGTGACCGTCTGAAAGGGGGAAGTCCCTCCACCCCCAAACCAATGGGATGAGGGGGGAAATGGTCGATCTGACAAACTGAAGACCATAACCTGGTGGCTTGAGACACCAGGCCCCGCTGAAGCAGGCCTTCCACGTGGGTCTTGAACTCGTAGTAGGCCGCCGCGTGAAGGATCTCAGCGTCGGTGTGGGCAGCCTCATTCCAACCCAGCCGAACGACAACTGCGGCCCTGGGCATCAGGGGGTATCTCCCACCTCCGTAACCTCTGTACCCTAGGGTAACTCCCTAGTAGAGGAACGAATAACCACCTACTCTAGGGTGACTCCCTAGTAGTGGTGTGGGGACCCCAACAAAAGAAGAATGATGAAGCCAGTTTGGCTCAGACTTGAGCCAAAATGGATTCATCAACTTACACACTCACCCTAATGATAATGCACACCCAGTGCCTGCCAAACACGATGCATACATATATATATATATATGGGTAAATTATAATATTTCACAAACCTGAATTAAGGCAATTTTGGGATGATTTCCCTTATTAACCATGATTCCAGTGAGGTCGCAGTGAGGTCCTTATAATTTACCCAGATACATATATATATATCATGTGTAATTATCCCCAAAAAAATGGTGATAGCGTCATGGGATAAGACATTCTAGGTCGCAAGAAAAGTCCATTCTGTATCACGGACCTATCGAGATAGGTGAAATCTATGGGGATGTTTGATGGATGTGTCAAATCTTGACCGGTTCCATATTTCAAGCAAGGAAACTCCATGATGTGCATCTCAATGTGAAGCAGTCTGTATGTGGGTCGTATTCTGGAGATATATATCCCATGACGGATCCATGGTGCTGGTATATATGCTAACATAAAGGGGGTATATTGATGGCAAATGTTACCATATATAACATACATGGATCCTATGGGTATTTGTTTCCTTCCTTTGGACGTGCTTGCCGAGTCAGCACGTTGCCACAGTGGTTGATATCTTTAAAGAGCCAAGGTTGGCTGCAAGTCTCACTGCACAGCCGTGGGGTCAATGGCTGAATCCCTGTCTAACTTTCACCACCAAAAAATGGAGGCGAATCCAATTTCGAGTCTAAGATAGTCTAAGATAGTCTAAGATAGTCTAAGGGCCACCGACTAAACCATATTAAACCCTCACCAAACACACCACTCAGTCACTCAGCTGCTGCACACTGGCGCACCGGATGTCTTCATCGGGGTCCAACAAGGCACGACGTCGCAGGCCATACACGATCTTGCGCTGAGTGTCCATCACCTCAGATGAGACCCACCATCCACCAGATCCACCAGATCCCAGCGGTCTGCTGAGTGCCCAGCTGTCGAAAGCTTAGCTCTGAGTGCCCCAACGTCGTCGTATTCAAAAACATTCTTTCGAACACTGTAGAAATAGTTTTCGACCTGCGGGGGAAACGCTTCTGCTCCATCTCAAAGTTGGGAATCATAATGACAGCTGATACCTAAAGAGGTGGTCGGAAGGCAAAAGTTCCCACAGTTGATCAGGTTTCCGCCTCAACAACCTAAAATTCCTCAGCATCTCAGCATGCTGGGGGTATTTAATTACAGCGTTGCCGATAGCAAAAAAGTAGAGGCTTCCGCCCCAGTTTCCCGATAAATTCAAACGTCAGCTCAGCCGGGAGCAACATGATTTCATCAGCAACACAAGAAGGGAATCACCGAATCAGTGAATATGTGGTGAACCACTGAGGCTATAAACCATCCCCAAAATATCCCAAAATCAATACCCATCCCCAGTCATGGCTCTAGGTAGTTTTAGGGCATTGGATTTACGGATTGACCACATGATTTGTTTAGATCACATTGGGACAAGCAATATCATCTGATAACCTTTTTTTGGTATTTCTAGGTATTGATTATTTTTAAAAATGGGATATCCCTGGATATCACCATTTTTAGGGTCTTAGGTTTCATCCCAAATACTCACCCACGGTAATCCCAAGGAAAAATCCAAAAAAAAAACAGCCGCCCCTCTTTTCTCATGTCGCTTGCACACCTGAGAGGTGGTCGTAACCATGATCCAAGGGTGATGCTGGGTGGTGAATTCATAAATGTCAATGTTGATTCGTGGTGATATCCCTATTTTTCAATGGAAAAACTCATGACAAAAGGTGACTCGTAATACTCTACGATATAGAATTTACATGTTATGTATATATATATATATGATTATATAATTAAATATATATGTTACATATCCCCAACAAATATGTTATTGAAACTACCGTTCATCACTCACTAAAGGCCCAAGGTTGGTACCATCTGCAGCTCGTGCCCGGGCTTCCGCAAAGATCCTGGAGAGAAGATATGCGACATAATCTGTGTATGTTCGGTGTGCACAATTAAATAATGCATACGTATAAAGTAATAAAGTAACCTATAATGTGGGGTGGTGGCAACAAGTGGCAACCACAGAATTGGGATACATAGTATTTTATGGCCAACAAAAATGGAGTGCTTCATCGAGTTGGGCTGTGAACCAAGCAGAAACAGAAAATGGCCGACAAAAAGAGGAAAATGAACCAGGAAAAAGGCTGAAAAAGGAAGGCAAGCAATGAGAAAGTTGAAAATAGACTATAATTCTATAATCAACATTTGTCAACTTTGATCAACTAAGACTCAGAGTGTCGTAACTCTGCGGGTCAAAGTCTGAACAAACGATTCACGCTCATCTGGTGGCCGCCTGGTGGCCTCAGATTTTTCTGGCCGCAGCCACTATGGTCAAAGTTGAATCAGTGGGCCTTCACTGAAGAACAAAATGGGTGTGTCTAAAAATGCGGGAGTTGTTTCTATCCCCCAAAATATCCAATTTATGTTTTTCAACCAAAAAAATCATGGGATTTTTTTTTTTTTCGCCAACGGATGGGTTTGGGTTTGTTCCATCTTTTCTCCAACATTTTTGGACAAACCCAGATCTTTCGGTTCTGATTGGAGTCAGCCAGACCACCCGGTCGAGTTGCCTTTAGGCAACCAACGACGAGTGCGGCAGTTAGGCAGTTATGTAGGGAAAACATTTTAAAAAGCTTGGAGGAGCAGTGCACAAACCACACCAAAATTTGATAAAGATCAAATCATCCTAAATCAACCAATGGATCATGTTCAAGATCTGGTCACCCTGGAAAATTCTGGAAAAATACACGGCCAAATCCATAGCCATATCATATTGGAAAACCATCAAAATCCCATGGCTCTCAATGCCTCCAAGCTCCGAAGGGTGCGTTACGCAGAGGAACCTTCACGCTGAGCGATGACTAAAAGTCGCGGGGCTTTCGCATCGAACCTACGAAGCCCCCAAAAAACAAGGATGGATCGCATGAGCTCAGAGACTCGACCATCAAATGTCATTGGAAATCTGCTGCTTCCGGTTTTAGCTGTTTTTGGGGTTTCAGAAATACACAAAAAAGAACTTGGAACGTATATGCAGAATTGATAATCATACAAAAAGTGTGGTTCATATTAGCATCAAAAACATGGGGAGAATTTTGATAATTTGTTTTTTTTTATCACCCAACATGCTCACCCAAATGATTTTTTTTGGGGTGATCTCTCATCCTTTGGTGACCTACGTCGGATTCATTGACGAAAAGAGAACCCGCCTGGGACTCTCTGAGCCAATGCTTTCGGGGCACGTTGGCCCGGTAGCGACGCAGCAAAATATTGATATTAATATGCGTTTGGCTCAAAATAGGCTACACCCCAAATATCCAAATGCAATGGTCTATCGATGTTTATCATCATGTTCCAAAAATTGAAATGGCCATTTTTCAGGTGTCCCCCAGTTTCAGACCACGTGATGCGTCGCCAGTGGCGATGGCTTTTTTTCCCTACCGGCGAAGTTGCTGAGTGGCGAGCGGCCGCAAGCTATCACACAAGGCTGAAAGGGCAGGCTTTTTGTTGAGGATCCAGTCGGAATACATACCCTAAAATGAAACATTGAACCCCGAAAAAGGCCAGAATCAACGATGACAAAACAAGTTATCCCGCCCAATTAAACAACATACCTCCATACTACTTTTTGTGCTGCATATTCACTTCCCCCCTGGTCAAGCTTCCCTTTACCGATGAGAATGGCTACCCATTCACAATAGCCATGGCTGAGAAACACCGAAACTGTCGGTTTCAATCGTTGGAAAACACAACTTCTTTGGACGGACAGTGCTAGTGCTGCTAGTGCCACCCTTGAAAATCATCATGTGACAACCCGCTGGATGGAGAGCTCTCTTGCCGAAAAATCTTCGCTGGTCATTCTGCGATGTCGGTGATATCATATCCATCAGCTATTTTTCTATTGGTGAGATACTGACCATGTCCCAGTTTTTTTGGACCTGAGCGTAACCCTCGAGATTGATTTTACCGGACCCACGGGATTTCCTTTAAACGAATCGCATGAAAAATCACGCGCATCCCTTGGGAAATCATCTGGTCTTGCTGTTTTTCAGTGCTTGTCTCTGCTGAATTTTTTTCTGATGACTTTGCCATGGACTTTGCTATCCATCCAGGACGTCACTGGTGGAAGTCACAACCGGTGGCTGTCTCAAAGACTTCACTGGCATTGGCCAATCTCGGATTGGAAGGGCCAAGGGGGTCGTTGATCAGATTCCCCTTTTCAAATGGAGTTCATCAGAAATGATTGGGACTTCACTGCAAATCATGGATAAACAAACATAAGACCATATGACCATAAATAAATTATAATAAATATATATATATATTATGAATCATAGGTGTTTGACCAACTGTTCACCCATATCAGGAAGGATGCAAGTGATATGTCGCCATGGCTCTTTAGGATTCTTTAGGCTCCAACTTGTACACATGGCTACTTTCAGCTGTCCGAACCAACCATCCCATCCCGCCAAGCTGCTCAAAACGTTTGTCGCCTTCCAAGTTATGCCTGCGCACGTTGCGCGCGTTGCGCGCGCAACGCACGTGAATGATCAGCGAAAATCATTCCAGGCGCCATTGGATGGTCATTGATGGTCAGTTCCAAATTTTCACCCATCAGTCCTCATGACCCACGCTGGAGGTCTTGAATTTCGACCCACGAGTTAGTTGGGGTGTCACAAAAGAGAACTGGATACAGCATGATACAAGCAACAAGGATGGAGAAATCATGAAAATCAATAGAAATCACTTATAACCTTTTTGGGATGTGGTAACATAGAGATACATAGAGATGTAGCAAACGAAAAAAAGGCAGATCCAAGCAGAACATCGCCACGATGCAATAGTCGGGCAACCACTGACCACAAGGATCTTCAAATATCTTCAAACATCAAAAATCATATTGCGGGGATGCAATTTCGATGCATAACAAGGTGGCTAAACCATGCCAAACCTAGTAAAAATTACCAAAATATTGCCAAAGATCAAGTAGTTTGAGTTCCGAAAGCCCCACCCATTTTTCTTGGCAGGGCACACGACGCGTGGTAAGAGTTCCTGCAGCTCCAGCAGCTGGGTGCTAAGGTCCTGGCACCAGCTCTGCTGGATGGATAGCAATTAACATCAATTAACCAATCTCCCCATGAAATACTGCGCGGTTTCATCATGTTTCCTATGGCTTAATTTAGCATAGGTGGCTTATGTGTAAACATACACCTAAACGTGTTCCTATGACTTAGTTCGCGTCCGCCTGATTTCAAACCGCTTGGTTTTTCACCTGTTGGAGTCTTCCCCGGTTCTGGACCATCGCCCAAGCCGATACCGCTGGGGCAGGGGGTGAAGAAACAATTTGGTTAAGCCACGATTTCTACATGAAACCTTTGGGATGAAATGAAGATATCAATCCATATCATCACCATATCTATCCATATCTCACAAAGGAAAAACCTCCAAAAAGCAAGATCAGCAAGAAACTATTGGTAGATGTCACCATGGAGAAGAACTATCTCCAAATCTTAGGCTGGTCCCAGCTGGCAACCAAACCTGCAGTGAGATGTCAATTGCTAAGTGGAAAAAACTACATAGCTCCAGTCATTAGACATCTCAAAAGAGCAAACATCAACAATGGTTCAACAAGTTGGTCATAGCAAAAAACACCCCTTCCAAGACGTTTGCAAAACCTCTTCCGTTGCGGACCCAGTTCTTTCTTGTTGGCCCATGGCCATGGCCCATGGCCATGGCCATGACGGTGGTCCCACGGTCCCATCTCCTCAACGGTGCTTGGCTCGTCTTTCAATTTGATGACTCGATGGCAACCTCGCCAGGTCACCGAGGTCACCCAGGTCACCCAGCACTAAGGGCTGCCATGGAAATCACCACGTTTCAACACAAAGTTGGCCTAGTTGGCCTAGTTGGCAACCTATAGCTATGTTAGTTTACTGGAGAGTAAGCTGAGTTTTAGGGGATCAGCAAAGATGTGATTTGGGGAGTTTCGGTAATCTGAATTGGTGTCAATCTGCATCCACCATTTCAGGAAATCAGGGGGATTTTGGGCGCTGCGAAAAAAGAACCCGAGGTTTTCCAGTTTTCCTACATGCCGTAGTGGCCATAGTGATCATCGTGTGGGCATTCCCTGTTTTTGAGGACCCAAAATATCCTGTTTTGATGGTGTATCTCATTGTATCCCCATTTGTACTTGGTTACGTTTAGTAAACTGCGAATATAAAAAACAGGTTTCTCCGAAAATAGGCTACACCCAAATCCTGCGTTTGTAGCCAAATTTTGCCAACAAAATAAAGAAATGTTGCAGGAATACCCCATTTTCAACACACAAAACATTGCAGGAGATGACCATCTCTTTCCCATGGCTACAAAAGTCGCCACATCTCTTACCCAGGGCAGCTGGCACCTACATCTCGACACCAAACCTCAGCGTCCGTGAGTCAATTGGATGAATCATCGATTTTTCTGACAGGCATAGTCTGGAACTATGTCTAACTTTTCATAAAACATCATATAAAACCCAATACAAACATATGACCATTTGCCAAAAATAGTTGACAGAAGTTTGGTACCAGTTGTTGATAATTAGGTTTTTTTTGTGTGGGTCTTTTGTGGTCTAGTGATTTTTCCAAAGCCCATAACTGCCATAACTCCCATGGAAAAAGTGTCCAGTTCATCCTCTCCCAGCGGATCCAAGTGGCTAAATCCACCGCAGCCTCGGCTTCCACATAGGAATCCCCGATGGAGACGAAGAGCAGATCCGGCGGCTTATCTGCTGCGGTGAAAAAATGGGTGGCATACCTCTAAGATCTAACTGATCTAACTGATCCAACTAACAAACTATCTAACTAACTATCTACAGTAACTATCTAATACTGATTATCTGACTAGCTATCTAGCTCTATCTATC